ACCAACAAGGCGTTTTTCTGAGTGGACTCGCTTGGCGAACGCAGCAGCGTTGCCACGTACGCAAGCAAGCGCTCCAGGGTATCATCCTGAACACATGGGATCGGACAATGACGTGGATTGTGTGAGGGCTGTGAAACACGTTGAAGGATCGAGAAGACATACTAACATTGACACAAGGGAAAGCGGAAGCGGGACAGCGATGTAGAATTTTACATATTCTACGTCGAGAGCACAGAGAACAAAAACATTGTGCGGTGAGCATTGGCGGACTGTGGGGAAAAAGAAGGGCATGGGTCACGTCCTGTGTGGGGGGACACCGTACAGCGCAGTAACCTGTCCCCATCACCGTGAAAATGTACTATCTCCCGGCCCCCGTACAAAACGCGGGGGGGCGGGGGGGGGCGTCAAGAATAAGGCGTTTTTGTACACGTTGCGGTTGATGGGGGGGTTGGCGGTAGCATTTGCAACCCCTCCTCTGCACTTGGCCATCAGTGATCGGTAGTGTTGGAACAACAGCGCTCCCTCCTCTCGCGGTCAATGGTCTTCCGTATCTGACACAAGATAAGACACCCCCTTGACCAATTTTCAAAGCTCGATTATGCGACAACGAAGAGGATACATAAATGAAACAATACATTTTCGGAAAGCTCTAGACGAGACATCTCCAACTCCACCGTTTTTCACGCTGTAACTCTTTCTGCTGTCGAGGTATCGAGATCTGAAAAATCGGTCCAGGGGGTGTGTTATCTTGTGTCATCTACGGTAACCGCTCAGGCATGCACCCCCCCCCACCCCCCCACCCTCTGGAAGTAACAGCACCGCAGAGAGACACACCGGCGCACCTGCGCTCTGCACACAGCCTCCATCACCCCGCCGCTGGAGGCCAGCACGTGGAGGCAGTAGCCCACCTCGGGCTCCAGGAAAGCATTCCCGTCGTCGAGAGCCCCCAGTCGAAGGAGAGTCCGGACCCACCCCCGTCGGACAAACGCCAATCCCACCTGGAAAACCAGCGTGACATCAGTGCGTAGCGTGGGAGGGCCGTGCTAACGACGCTATTTTCGGCGTAGCGTAGTCACCTGTCTGTTTCTATTCGTCTTTCCCTCTCTAGCTCTCTACCTCTCGATCCACTTTCTATCTGCCCGTCAATCTATCTTCCTCTCTTGCTGAGAAACAAGGTCGAGCACACAAAACCAGCCCCCTACCCGAAACGGTGTGTGTGTTGCACACTGTCTAACGCAACGTGATAAGCACCTTCTTGTGTACGAGCAGCGTAGACAGCAGCTCCACGGCGTGCCCCCTGATCTCCAGCTGCGGGTTCGCCAGCAGGAGGTCCACCACGGCTAAGCCATCCCCGCTGAACAGCGGGGTCAAGATCTTCACTCCCCGGCCACACCACGACGGAGCACGACAAGGCACCGACCGATTAAAAAGAGTAACCGCAACATAGGGGGGTGGACACATACGACCAGGGCAACAAAAAATAGCCAAACGATGAGACCCCAGGTCAACCAAAATCGGCCAATGGGAGACATCTACAAGAGTAAACTGTGAACCCAATGGGAAACACGTGACTGCTACAGTCGTTGCCATGTAGAACAGCGCCTCCTTTTTCGTGCCTTGTGTACACCGCCTGGGCAAGACGCAATGGGCAAACACCAAGGTGTGTGATGTCAAAAGGCTCGCGGTTCACGGGCGGCGGCACATCCGTCCACGGCAGGTCCGTAGTATACGAGCCGCAATAAGGTTGCACGACCATCCAGGGGCCATGATTCGTACGCACCTTGACGAGAAAATGACTTGAAACGGGGATATAATAGCGTTTTCCACCCTCTACAACGCGACAATTCGACGGGAAGGACAAGAGCGCGCCGACTGCGATGCTCCTGGCGTCACAGGAGAGCTCGACAAACAACAACAAAGAGAGAAAAACAAAACTACAACGAAAAACAAAACACAAGAGCATCACCTCCTGGTACCCGCCGATGCCGCTCATGCACGCAGCCACGTGCTCCGCCTCCACCGCCGCGACGTTAGCCCAACGTCCGTACGTCGGTGCCGGCTGTTGTGCGGCCGACGCCTCCGCTGCGCCGACAGCAGCAGCAGCAGCAGCAGCAGGAGCGCCGTCGCCGCCGCCGGCAGCGGCGGCAGAACCAGCCGCGGCGCCGACGGCCACCGACGGGTCCCCGCTTTGCCCACCCGCAGAACCCCCCCCGTCCCGCGCCAAGCCGTCGCCTGATGACGCCTTCCGGTGGTTCTCCTTGGCGGCCTCGGCCCGCAGGTGGTCCGCCACCGGTCCCTCCCTCAGCCTCTGCACCAGGTGGGCCGCGAAGCCCTTGTTGACGATGAGGTCGGACAGCTCCCTGGAGAGGAGCCCGGCCGCGAGCAGCCCCGTCGCGTGGGCCCTCAGCTCCGCCTCCGCCGACGCACGGTCGGCGAGGATCTCTGCCGCCGTCGGCGGCATTGTTGCCGCTGCTGCTACCGTCGCTTGTGGGGACTCTGCTGGCGCGGTCGTCCCGGCACCCGCCACCTCCGCCTCGGAAACCTCCGTGCCCCTCCCTGACGAGGCACTCCCTCCTCCTGCGGGGGCCCCAGAGGCTTGTTCCGCCGCAGCCGCCACCGTCTTCGGCACCTTCGCTTTGCCTTTCCCCTTGTCCCCGGCACCGCTCTTGCTTCCCTCTTCCGGGTTAGCAGCCCTCATGTTCAAGCGGACCAATTCCCGCCCCTTCTCTATCGCAGCTTGCGCAGCGGCCGCGTCGAAGCTACCACCGCCGCCGGAGGCAGGCGGTGCCCCTCCCCGTGCCCACGACAGCACCTGCTCGTAGATCTCGACCTCCTCGCTGAGAAGAGCGGGGACCGGGGGCGGGGGGGCGGTACGGGAGCCCTGGTCCACCGTGGCCATCGATACGGCACACAGGAACCTAAGGAGGAGAAGGAGAGGGAGGGTTGCGTACGATCGATTCCTCAAACATACACACATCACATGGGTGATGGATACTAGGGCGTCCTCCGGAATGGGCGGCCTCATGAAAGCTCAGAACATACCCTAAAAAATAGATAAATTATCTTTGTGACATAAAACGGGCTCATGAGAGCACAGGAGTGTCATCAAAGGGGTGATGGAAGGTGAGAGAGAAAGCTCGAAAGAGTGCCCGCCAGCCGTGACGCTTTCCAAGCTCGAACAGCCTACACCGCTGACGTGTGTATACCCGAAGAGCCCAGCGAACCACCTCACCGAACCAAAAGGAACAAAGCAAAACTCTACTACAAGCAGCTTCATCGGAGAACAGCCCACACAGGTGACGCGCACAGACTCCAAGAGCCCAGCGACCCACACCGCACCACGAAAACACAAATCTACAAACATCAGTCTTTCCGTAGAAAGGCAGTGGGGTAGACTTGGCCCGGCGGGCCCCACGGACCAGCACCGTGGGAAATGTCAAAACATCATACTCATGGGTTTCGATTGATTTCGCGAGTTGCTCGGGCTGGTGTGGACGGGGGGGGGGTACTCTGACGCGACAACAACGAGCCGTGAGCACTATGGACAAGCCAGAACAAAAATAGACAAAAACGTTTCCCACGAAGTTCTGTAGGCGTCACTACTGCTGCCGCTTGACACCTCGTTTCCCCTCTCCCACCATTCGCAAGAGGAGAAACAAAACGCCTGCCACCCAAGCAAACTAAAACACCAACTGCACCTGCACACGGCGGCCAGCACGATAGCCCCGCCGCCCACCCCTCCCCCGCTCCTCAACAGGCCGAAGAGGACGCTGGTGACGAAGCGGGTGGGCTGGCTGTAGCGGTCGTCGTCTAACGTGCCCATCGTTGCCTGGCGAATTGCCTGCCCGATCGGGTATAAGTATCTGCGGTTCTCGAAGACGTTGACGCCCGGTTGCCGGCAGTACGACGCCTGAGGCGCAACGGGGGGGAGACGTGCTTGTTGAGTTTTGTATTGTACGTGCCGAGGTAGCTGTGGCAGTGACGCAAGTCTCGGTTTACCTCAGGTCGTTGCTGCTTACATGAAGCTATGCATCAATAACACCCCTTTCGCCCTTCATCTCACACCCACAGCAGCCTACGGAACTGATTCGCAACCACAAGCTTTTCAATGCTGCTGCTGCTCCAAGGAATACTCGATTGCTTTACAACATGAAGCTATGCAACAACGGTACTCCCTTATCCCTTCATTTCATACCCACAGCAGCGTACAGAACTGATTCGCAAGCACACGCTTTTTCGCGACTACTGACTGCTGTGTTCCTATCCCCAAAGTCTTCGCGGGTGCAGCAGTAGAGAACGAGCAAACGTAGCGAAAGAAGGTACGTATCAGCACACGCGTGCATTTTCATTCTGGCACATACAGTCATTCTTGCGATAATTATGCCGAGAAACAGCGTTCCCACACCCTTCACTCATGTAGTCATTCTTGCAAGCATGTCGTGAGAATCTTGAGCATCAGCCTTCACACATTTCCACGCCATCCTCGGTTCCTCTCATTACAGCAGTAGCGGTGCGCCCGATGCGGTCACCACACGTTGAGCGACGTGCCCTGTATAGCGACCATCAAGTCTCGTGGTCCCACTGCACCCCTACCTACAGTCGTTACGTATCCTATTGGGAAGTGCCCTGAATAGCGACCAGATTCATTTCTTGACACTACAAGTCTAGGAGCCGCTAAACCGGGCCCACCTCTGCTGTATCCGTGAGCAACCTTTTTCAATGCACATACAATCGAAGAGAGACTACGCTTGTGAAATAATATCACATCAGTCGCACGGGATGCGCTGCAGCGAAATCCATCAACTAATTAGGCACACACCTCCAGTCGCTCCGCGATGTCTGCGAGCCTGTGCAGAATGGGCACGAGCCAGAAATGCTTCGGCTCCGGGATGGAGTTGCCCTGCGCCGCTTCCCCCGCCGTAGGAGTGGAAGCGCTCTTGACCGCCTCTGCCAACAGGCTTGCGAACTCCTCGGCGAGCGTCTGGAGTCTCACGCGCTCCGCCTTTGTGCACAAACGGAACGTGGTTGGGTCGGTGGATATTTTGTTCGTCCATTGTTGGATTAGTCTAAGGCTAGTCCAGTAGACTGTACTCACTCAGCGCTATCTCACGGCAGGACTCGACAACATGACTGACGAATATTAATATAGCAACGTTGGCGATCAAGCGAGACAACTCTTGTTCCGGTTAAATAAGAGGCGGAGAGTCCCTGATTGCCCCGCTGGCAAGTCGGCAACGGCGCTGTCGTATTGACTCGGCAATCCTCGATATTGTTAGATACACCACGACAAGAAAGGTTGTGGATATAAAAGTCCTTAGAGTCGATGGGCAACCCTACACCCCAAGCTAGCGAATATCTCGACGTAGTCAAGGGATGGGCGAACACACAAGCGCGACGTGGACGACTACAACCTGTGTAGGCGCATGAGGCACGCAAGAGGTCGGCGACTACGGCAAGCGGGCGCCTGGCGAGCAACACTGCTGTCAACTTGGGGGAATTCGGCAGCAACATTCAGGATTGGCCATCTCGAATCCCACCCGCCTTGCTTCTGCATTCTCCACTTCAAATGCACTCTTCGATAGCAAGCTGATGCTATAAGGTCTCTCCAGGAACAAGCACGTTCGGCAAACCGTTGGGGTTGAATATTGCGACGGGCCGGGGAAGTGTGCGCAGTGTGTCAAAAGTGCTGCATTACCAAAGGTGAAAGGATGGCAATTGTCAAAATGTTGCGTATAAAGTTGTAATACAACGCATCGCTAGGTATTCGTGGTTGTGCGCCGGAGTAAAGTGCTGCTGCGGCTGCTATTGGTGCAGGCACTCGCAGCCAGGAACGGCTCGCGGTTGGTTCCCCAAATTATACTGGAGTGACTCGAGAGTATACAGGTACAGGAAGATGAGAGAGGCTCTCACCGATATAGGTCCTCGGAAAACATTGTCACCGCCGCCGCTCCCACTCCACACAGCCCGTCTTCCCTCCATGGTGTGAAAACCTTGCAGTTGCTGCACGCGGCCTTCACACGCCGCTCCCTGCTACCCAAAGGTGGGTTGCAAACGCTCCCGCGGAGGCAACACAGCAGCGAGAAGCAGCCGCGATTGAGCACCCCCCCTCAAGAAATCATCGCGCGACTCCCCCCCCAGCACTGCTGTCATGATGACACACACAGCGCAGCGGCGGCAGACGCAGGGATAGCAGACAGAGGGCAACAGAGTCAGCATCGACACCGGCTGGGCTCGAAGGTGGTCCCTGCTCGTAAGTTTTTGATTGCAAAGGTCGAAGAACGACTGCACAGCTACAGCGAAAATCTTAGCGGAGGTGCGGCGGAATAAGGCCTGTCTGGTGTGCCCGAGCGGGCGGCCAAGGGCAGCCGCGACCACCTTGGCGAGGTACGACAAGGGACACGGGACAGGAGGAATGTACCTAAAAATGATGCTTGATAGTGACACAACTCTGGCGTAGCCCTGTATGCTCACGAAAGGCTTTGTAAGATGCACCCCAGGTGTGTTACCCGCCTGCCCATGGGGCGTTGATGCTTTCGCGGCAATCCTCTTCTGCACTCAACGACCATAACGCCGGACCTTGTGTGCTGCATCTCCCTTAGCCCCGAACACTAAAACGAACGCTCGCACTGCTATGTAGACATCTTTGTCGACACCCAAATACGCACGAGCGGGTGGTGGAGTCGCCATTCCGATTCGACGATGCGCTCTCTTTCATCTTGCCTTGGAATGGCCTTTGGGCACAATACACAGCTCTCGGAGACCAACGGCCCACCCAGCTTACCTGTTGCCGTCCGCCGGGGAATGTAGCGCGTTAGAGCCGCGAGATTGCACGCTTGCGCAGACGAAGAGGGTATTGTGGTGGAAAGGATAAAAGACACAGCATCAGGTATATCTCCGTGTGTTGGCGTAGAACCAAGCCATGCAACGACCAACACAATCGCTCGTACGTGCGTGTGTCATCCCCCATCCCCAAGACCTGAAACTAAAAAAGGGAGATGTTGAGCGGCACCAAGAGAGGCGAAACCACAAATAAGTTTGCACGGAGCATAATTATTTGTAGGTCCGACCCAAGGCTTCGTCTCAGGTGGTCGTCTAACCTGTTCTCCTGTTTCGTGGTATAGTTTATTTAGTTAGACACAGTCTGCTATGATGCCTGCTCCTTTTCCCGGCAGACAAGGATGCCGAGATTGACTCTCGCCGAAAGGAAATGCCCGCCAATCGTTGACGCAACTCCCATCGTAGAGCTCCATCCCGTAGTGCGTGCCCTCCATTACGCTGAACATCCCTTGGTTTGCAGTCCCGTGTGAAGCACTCAAATGGGCAACTGCTACTGCTATAATACCCCCCTTGAAACTTATTCTCCCGCTGTGGAGTAAACCCACACCCACGCCACGCGACCTCCCCCCCACGCACGTGCCCCTTCTCGCTTGTTGTCTGCGTAGAGATGTCGGTGATGATTGAGACCTCGCTCGGGGAGGTCGTGGTGGATCTGTTCTGCGAAGACGCCCCGCTCGCAGCAAAGAACTTCCTCAAGCTCTGCAAGATCAAGTGAGCGTCGAAGACGGTGGGGTACCGATCGACTGCCGTGCTTGTAGCAGCACCTTCACAACTACTGGCACCACGGTAATCTTGTGGCAGGGATGGGATCTTTTGGGACAAGTGGCACGTGACAGGCCTTGGTGTGGGCTGCCCTGCGAGGCTTCCTCATGGAAGCGAGCATGGCGACTCACCTCTTTGATTGTCTACTCGTAATTGTGAGTAGGTGATTTTTGGCGCAGGAGGAGGGTTATGTATGCGACAGTGGTCGACCGTCGTGGTGCGCACAAAACCGGCCTGCGCGGAGTACAACAAGCGGGGTAGTGGTGCCAGACCTGCGGAAAACGTGGTATCACATGTTAATGGTCGAAAAGCACCCCTACGGCCCGCATTGCCCATCGTTGAAAAGTGAATGATAACTTCACTTTTACGGTATATCATCCGGAAACACATGGCTTCATCTGCCTGTGTCGCCAGTAGTCCGAAACAAAGGAACTGGTTGCCGTTTCCTGTGGTAGCGCAGCACGGTTCATAGTTTGCAGCGGTTCTCGCCTTTCGAAGCATCATGTTCTTGTTTCCGGTGGCCTCAAAGGTGAGATGAGACCTCACAGATGAAGGCGGTTCGTTGCCCACATCAACTTGACACGATCTACTTCTGGTAGAGGTGTAAGCTAGACCTCGTTATGCGATAATCGATAAAAACTCGGAACCCTCACTCTTTCAGCACTTGACTCTACGCTCTCTTGCACGGCATTTATGAACGAAGTTTATCTTGCTCGATTGTTCGTTTGAGCTTGGAAAAGCGGCTTTCTGAGTCCCAGAATCGCATCCAATCCCCGAGAAAGGTCGTAAGCAGCTGGCTCGCTGTTTGTTAGCGTGTCACGGCGCAACACACCACCCGTTTACCTCGTGATCACTCTGCTACTGTTTTTGGAGAGTTCTCGCACAACCATAGTGCAATTTTGCACTGGGCACACGTGTCAACGCCCCCCCCCCCCCCCCCCCCCCCCCCCCCCCCCCCCCCCCCCCCCCCCCCCCCCCCCCCCCCCNCCCCCCCCCCTTTCTTTTCGGCTTTTGAAGGTACTACAATGGCTGCCTGTTCTACAACGTACAACAGAACTTCATGGTACAGACGGGGGATCCCACCGCCACGGGCAAAGGTGGCACGTCGGTGTACGGCCTCATGTACGGCGAGCAAGCCCGGTGAGTGCGAAAGACTTGCGAGTGCGCTCGTGTTTGTCTCGTTCATGATGGGTTCGTCAACAGGCGAATATACTCTCGAAGTACATCTGTATATCTCGCATGCATACCTTTCGTTTTCGGCGAAGTTGCATCGTGTACCACCATCACGAAGAGAAAAAGTGTCGCTCAAAAAATCAAGCGGTGTGGAATTGTGTAGGGGGATAGGCTGACTGACATGGCCGATGTTTTTGAGTGGTGCTGTCCTTTGGCTGGACGAGTTTCGACCACGTTCTCTTCTTTTGAGGCGTAGCTCTTTTGGATGTGGAGGACACCCTTCCCCGTGGGCCTCGTCGCCCTCTACAAGTATGTTTGTGGGTGTTTTCCCGCATCGTGTGCGTCGATTGCGGCTGCTGTTTTCGCCGATCTTGTGGGCGTATTTTGGCGAACGATCCGCGATCGATCGGGTTGTGACCATGGTGGAGAGTGTGGAGGCGAGCGCAATGAATATCATCACCAACAACAGTAACAACAATAGCCAGACAGGCGTTCGGAGTATGTCGCGGTGTCGTCCGCAAAATAATTGCGAACCGTCACAATTTCGCCGTTTAATCTCGCTCTCTGACGTACTTTGCCTCGCGCCAAAGATTTTTCGAGGACGAGATCAGCGCTACGAGCCGCAAGCACGACGAGGCCGGCCTGTTGTCGATGGCCAACATGGGGGTGCCCAACTCGAATGGCTCTCAGTTTTTCTTCTCCATGCGCGGCGATGACATGCAACACCTCGACGGCAAGCACACCGTGTTCGCCAAGGTATGGCGTTGCACACGGCAGCAGAAGAAGCCGCAACAGCAGTGGCGGTTGTGTGTGTCTGAAATTCGCGTCAAGCTGCCTTTTCCCTCCTTGTCTCACGGTCGCATGGGGTTATTTTTTGTGGTGGATGCCGCACGTGCCTTCATCGAGCATGCTGGCTACCTGCGTGTGCCTGGACCCGATTCGTAGCGACGGCAGTATAGATGGAGGGGCCAGAACACCCTTCAGTGAGCGCTTCCGCGTGTTGCATTAGTCCTCGGTGACTCGCTTCCTTTTTTCTTCCCAGCGATGCGAACAAGTAGATGCAACATCGACACACCCTTTTGTGAGCGCTTCCATGTGTTGCCATGGTCTCCCTCTTGTGACTGGCTTTTTTTCCTTTCTTCCCCGCGATGCGGAGATGGAGGGCCAATGCGCACCCTTCTGTGAGCATTTCCATGTGTTGCAACTGTCTTTTGTGACGACTCGCTCATTTTGTTCTTACCCCTAGGTGCTGGAGGGCCGACACACCCTTTTGTAAGCGTTTTGTAAGCGTTTCCGTGTGTTGGTGTTGAATATCTACACCGCGGTAGGTGGTGGAGGTCGAAAACACCCCGTCTGTGAGCATTTCGGCGTATCGCAATGGTCGTTTGTGATGGCTCGCTTCTTTTCTTTCTCCCCCGTAAGTGCCGGAGGTCCAGAACACACACCCTTCTGTGAACATTTCTACGTGTTGCAAGGACGTTTTGTGATGGCTCGCCTCTTGTCTTTCACCTCCGTAGGTGATGGAGGGCCAAACAGACACCGTTTTGCAATGGTCATTTGCGATGACTCGCTTTTCTGCCTTGCAGGTGATGGAGGGGATGGAGACCCTGGAGGAGATCAACGGGCAGTTCTGCGACGACAACGGGAGGCCGTACCGCGACATCCGCATCCTGCACACGTACGTCCTGGACGACCCGTTCGACGACCCGCCTCAGGTACGATCGACACTTCCCAATGGGAGGCAGGTTAACCTGTATGGCGACGATAAATCGGCCCTCCCGAAGGGGGTTTGACCTGCATGGTGATGGTAAGTCGATCCTCCCGAGGGAATGTGAACTGCATTGTCGTTGTCTTCACATGAAAATGACATCAGTGATGGTCGACCCTTACGGGGGGAGGTTAATCTGCGTAGTGATGATAAATCGACCCTTCAAGGAGGGAGAGTAACCTGCCATGGTAATGATAAATCGGCCCCTGTGAAGGGTGGTTGCCAGCATGGTGATGACAAATACTCCCTTGCGAAGGGAGGTTAACTTCAGCCGTCATGACGGTTTTGTTGCTGGTGATGACGAGGAAATGTCGTTACGATGGCTATAAAAACGGATGGCGGGAGGGTGATGATCAGCATGGTAATGTTGACGAGCGACGGTGATACAATAGATGATGACTCGATATTGTTGATGTCGACCCGCTTTCCGATAGCAAAGCGATCGCATAAGCGAGACCAACTGCTGTCTCACACCGATTTGCGCTGGTGAAGAGGTGGCAAACCTGATGGTTTTCTTGCGCCCGCGACCCGCTTCAAACAAACGGTAGATGGCTGGGTAGACGCCCCTGTGACTCCTACTGGTGGTTGCCTGCAGGGTGTTCCAGCCTTTACACAGATGGCGACGACGACACCCCTATTTCCCACAGCATGCACGATCTCATCCTTGTCAGCGGTCGACGCTGCGAACTGGTCGCTGTCAGGCGCTCCGAACTTGCGGGGTCAACGATTGGTCGCTTCGTTTTTCGACTGGTTCCAGTCCAAGGCTTCCTGCCGTTCTGCTTCGGTCAAACCGGCCGTTAAAAGTTTCCGCTTACGTGTTCCTACGCATGCCTCAATGGCTTGTATCTCCGTTTCGCCCGGTGGTGCCGGTTCGGCGTTTTTTTCGTGCCGTGAAACCAGCTTGTGGTCCCCGATGAGTCCCCTTTGCGCGACCGGCCTGAGGAGGAAAAAGTGGCGCTGCGCCTGGGAGCGCTGGACAAGGTGTCCCTGGAGGCCGACGAGAGGACGGAGCTTGAAAGGGAGAAGCAGGCACGATGGCGTGAAATTTGTCTGGTTGATGATTTGTTGTCGATGCTGTTGATGACGTTGTTGTTGTTGTTGTTGTTGTTGTTGTTGTTGTTGTTGTTGTTGTTGTTGTTGTTGTTGTTGTTGTTGTTGTTGTTGTTGTTGTTGTTGTTGTTGCTGTTGCTGTTGTTGCTGCTGCTGCTGTTGTTGCTGCTGCTGCTGCTGTTGTTGTTGTTGTTGTCGTCGTCGTCGCGTTGCTGTGTTGACGATGTTGTTGCTACTCGCGGTCGCCTTGTTTTGTTGGCGTTCATAGTAGCGATTGTGGATGGTGTTGTTCTAAGCCTTGGCGATCTATCAAACCACGGGCAAACGAGCATAAGACAGATACTGGAAAAGTAGCGCCGCAGGATGATACGTCGCCGGGGCGGGGTGTATTGCAAGGCGAGGCTCTAACTCAATGAAATAACTGGCATGTAGACTAGATAGCCAACGAGACAGAACAACAAACGGATGGTCTCACGAGCTACGGTGACGCGCGTGTGACTTTCGATTTTGCGTCCTAATTCGGTAGTCGACCGCGGCCTGTCAGTTGCATCTTTGACGATGACGCGGCTCCGGTACACTTCCAATTCGGTCAAGGCGTTTAATTTGTTCACGCAGATACGCCTCCTTTTGCCCAATAATGCGGGTTATCCGAGGGATCGAAGGTAGCGCGCCGGCCTCCCGGGTTCGCAAAACTAACGTCGATCGTCGTAACCTTTCATCCCTTTCGTCGGTTGTTCGCGCGCGGCGTGACCATGAATGGCTGCTTCAGCTGAGAGAAAAGACGGCGAGGTCTAACGCTGTGGTGCTGGAGATGATCGGAGATCTCCCTGATGCGGATATGAAGCCGCCGGAGAACGTTCTGTTCGTGTGCAAGCTCAACCCGGTCACCACTGACGACGACTTGGAGATAATATTCACCAGGCACGAAATACATCCGACGTCGGCCTGTTTCCTAAGCTTAATTACTTGGTTGTTCTGTATCCTGAGCGATGACTTAACTATGGAAGCACGCTGAGTTAATGCCTCTGTTTGGTGTGCTGGGGGAACAAAAACACAACTTTTCAGTTTTCATTTTACAGTATCCTGAGCAGGGACTAGTCATCGAAGAAGCTGCGTTATTGCCTCCGTTTGGTGTCCTGGGCGTGTTGGCGTACGCGCGCTCGGCGGAACAGGTTCGGGACCTGCCGGGCCGAGATCTGCCGGGATCACATCACTGGCGACAGCCTTAACTACGCCTTCGTGGAGTTCGAGGCTATCGAGTCATGCGAGGAGGTGAGGGCCTGACTTCACGCTTTAAAGTTGCACCTGAATAGAGGCCGTGCAAAACCTAAGCTGGAGGGGGTAGCGGGGGCCAAAGATGGTGGTTGGTCAACAGCTAATAATACGATGGGGCTTACTTTGGCTGCCCGGAAAAGCGGGACTTACGTATTGGGTGCAGCGGATTGTTTTTTGCTGAATGGAAGTGTACCCGAGTTGCACTGCACTCGTTTTTGCACCCCCCATGATGAACTGACCTCGTGCTGGGGTTGTCCCTGACTGGACCGCATGTGGCACACTGGCCATGCGGCACCCACACGCATCGCCCACTGCCCTCAGCTGGGAAATAGCCATATTGCGATGATCTGTGAGCGCGTCAGTTTTTGGCGATGGTTGGGTTTTTGTGGGGGTTGCGTCCCAATAATATGTGCGATGTCAAAAGCCAACGGCCGGTTGTGTGCAGCGAGACAGTTCGAACAAAAGTTGTAGAGCAAGCCTGAGGATGAGGCTTGGACCACTACCACCGCCTGCTGATCCTTACCTTCGTGTGTGTACTGATTTGTTTCCTGCTTCCGTGTAGTGCACATTGTCGATCGCTCCACCTGTTTGGTCGCCACGTCACCTCGCTGCAGCGATTGGGTGTTGCTGAACCTCGATTGGCATTTGGGTGCAGCAAAATGCGTTAAAACGACGCCCTTTTTGGCCAAAAACCCAGTTAGGTCCATCCAATGTGGGTCCTCAATCAGGTGAAAATTTTAACGTGAAAACAGGTCCTGAGGATGTGGCACAACAGGCACAAAACTGGTACGAAAACGTCAATAACGGTATGGATATCCACGAAACTCAGCGGAGGTTGGTTACATGGAACCCTACAAGACATTCCCAACGTTGATGGCGACCAAAGGAATGAACAAAGCGAAAGCGTCTCCACGTGTTTGGTAATCCGATTTGAATATCAGACCATCCCTTGGTTCAGTTACGGCACCCATAGCCATTGATTGGTCTTGTTTCGACCGAAGGGCTCTGCCACTGGAAAATGTATGGTCGTACTCGAAATGGAGAGGAGCTTGACAAGAAAGAAGGGAGTGCTTCATTTTTGAGAATACAGTGCTTCATTTTTGAGAATAGGGGTTCGTTTGTTGACGTGCTACCACGCCGTGTTGTCGTTATAGGCTCGCAGCCGGCAGTGAGTCTGACGCGATCGTCGTTCTTAGCATTGTTGCTGTTGCCCACACATTAATAACCGCTTCTCTGCACCTTCTATCGTCCGTAGTACACTGGGCAAGGGCGATGCAGCTGTCTTCGTGGTCTTGGAGGAACTAACCCAAAAGGGTTCATTTTTGGAAGAATTGGAGAGCAAGAAAAGGGCCCTGAAAAATGATTATCTGTAGCTGTGGCATTTGTTTCGACGATGCCCCTTTGCTCGCTCCCATTCCACCTCCCCCCACCCCCCTATCCCTAATGTGACCCTAATACAGGCGTTCAAGAAGATGAACAACGTGCTCATCGACGATCGGCGCATCCGGGTAGACTTCAGCCAGTCTGTTGCTAAAGAATGGTAAGTCAAACGTCGTATCCTCTTCTTTCCTTGTTTTGACGGAGGGCCGGTCGCAACGCTTGTTTGTATGGTTCGCGACCTGAGTAACGAAAGTGCAGCTGCGGATGAAGTCGCGCAAAGGATCATGCCCTCCAGCCCCACCCTGTACGTGGCCTTCGGTAAAAACGGCATATCCCCCAGCCTTTCCGTGTTTTGTCCGTTGCACGTTTTAGTGTCAACCTCACCTTTGGTCGTGGCTGTTGCACTTGCTACACGGGCAGCAATCTAATCATGCCCTCTTTGGCCCACCAATGCCACTACTGCCTCCCAGGTCGAAGTACAAGGGCAGGGCTCAGGGGGGCCAGAAGCTGGCTAGCGGAAAGGGGGGCAAGCCAGCACAGCAGCCACAGCAGAACAACACCCAAAGAGACAGCCACGCCTCGGGTGGCGCGCACGGCGCTGCGGGTCAGCACCGCAAAAGCAAATGGGGGAACGCCCCTGTCAGCCGGGAGGTGGCACATGCGGTCGGGAAACCGCCCTCGGAGATCATGCGGGGAGGAGATGCCACCTCGCACCGTCGGGACGGAGGGCGAAACGACGAAGGGCAATCGGCCGCTTCTAGGCGGGGCAATTACGAGACAGTCGGGGGTGGTGGACACGGTCGTCGACGGGAAGAGGACCGCCGGGGCGGCAGAGGAGACAGGCGCGACGGCGGCGGCGACGGAAGACGCGGGGATGGCCGAAGGAAGGATGACGGGGGCGACAGGAGGCATGGCGGTGACGACGGCGGGGCACGGGGCTCTCGCGACGATGAACGCGAGCGCAGAGAGAGGAGGGACGAAGCCTCGAGTGGAGGGGACGGGAGACAAGGTGGGAGTCGGCACAGCAGAGCCAGAGGTGGGGAGGGTCGAAGGGCGCAAGACGAAGGTCGCAACGGCGGCGGCCGCAGCAAGAACGACGATCGTGGTCACCGAGATGACCGCCACCGCGGCAGTAGAGAACGCGGCCACGGGAGGGGCGACGACCGCTCTAAACGACACGACCGTAGCAGGAGCAGAAGTCGCGAAAAGGATCGTCGGAGGGGTGGGAGTCGGGATAGGAGATCGAAGCGGTAGGATCAGCAGGAAGTGATACATCGCATGTGCCCGCAAGATTCAGTATAGCTGTGGACGCTGTGGGATTGATGTTACCTGGAGTACCGCCACATACCTGAGGCACGACCTCTGAACATGAACAAGATTGTGGAAGGTATCATCAAACATAGGGCAACTGGCGTGAACTGACTTGAAGGAAGACATTACCCGTCGCGCATTTTGAGTTTTTGGGCTTGGACCGCCGAACGAACGGGGTCCCTCGACAGGGGGCGGGCCGTTGCGGACGCGTCGACTCACGAACCTGATTGAAGGCCGTGTTTATTTAGGGTTTAGGGTTGACTGCGGCGGTGGTAGTGTACTGGGATTGCTGTCGCTACACGCGACTCGCTGCCGGTTGTCCGGATAAACCACGACCGCTTGTCGAGACTGACGGCTTTGAAAGTACTGCGTTGCTCCAAGCATGTCAGGGACTGCGTTGCTCATGCGAGCACCTTACCACCGCGAAATACCGCTCGAAGTATCCCACCCAACATAGCTTGACCAGCATGTGCTGCGCGCTTCTTGCGGCCCTCCTGTCTGTGTAACCCGAAAGTGTTCAACGGCGTTCGGACCCACACTCCCCCAAAAGAGACTGTTGCGCCTCGAGTAGTGCTGGATGAAAATACGTTCGATGTTCCGCCCTTTAGGTGCTCTGCCGCCCGCACAAGCCATTGCGCAGCCCTCTCTCGGGTTGCCAATCCCCCTTCCTACAATAGAAAATTCTTCACTGGTTTGTGGTGGTTGGAAGCCACGCCACATACATCATGGGTAGAAGCCACAAGTCAGCCAAATGGATCTTCTGTCTTTTGGAAGGGCACACACGATTTCTACATGTGTCCGACACCGGAGCGTCCTGAGCGTTGATGAGTTCGGTCTTTCGTTGTCGACCACTGCTGTCGAAGCCTAATTTCCTAACAAGACAAGGCAGGTGTGGTGCGTTCTGTCTCTTCACGACCAGCTTGCTTCAAACCCCCCCGGTTGTTCTGCTCATGAAATTGGAGATGATTGTGTGTGGCGGATTCCCACGACTTGATCATACGCGAACCACCCGAGCGTGCACTAGTATAATACCCCGGGTCCCTCGAGTTACTCGCCCCAAATACAACTTAACTTGCTAAGAATCCCCCCCCCCC